CCCAGATGCCTTATGTGAATACGCAGAAAATGTATATTTTGGAATTTCCCTCCCTCCCCCCTCTACCCCGCAAATCGTAATTCTCCCGTAATTCTTGCGCCCGCGGCTGTTGTTGATGTTGCTGTTTGGTTGACTGCGAAAATGCTTACACAGACATGAATAGATGCGCAGAGGCATACATACACTCACACAGACGCAATTGCTATGTAAATGTGCAATTATAAACCCTTTACGTGAGTTCGAATACCGAGAGAGGTAAAATCGATCAAATTTTTTTTTTATTTTCTTAATTTTTTTTATTTTCTATAATTATTGTAAACATATGTACAGAGTATTTCAAAGTCGGGACACCCGACTTTAGATTTTTACTTGTTTATAAAAGATTTTGTTTACAACACATAAAAATACTTGTTGATAATTTCAATGTAATTAATTAACATCAAAATATGCAATGAACATGTAAATACAAATATTTTTTCAAATTGGTTTCTGTCCCTTTTTCCAAAAAATATATATATGCGAATTTAGATATTAAATCATACAGTTGCGATATGTGTAAATATTTATGCCTACTTATTTATTTAAATGCTTTAAATTAAGTTCCAGAGGTTGGTGTGTGTATGTGTTTATTCATACAAATCTATTTCTCTTTTATTATAGCCTTCCAGCGTAGAAAATGAAAGCTCTTTGCGAGCATGTTATCTCTTCTATTCCATTTAGTTTTGACCACGTGGAAGCTTAGCTAAATATTGACCCTTCCAGAGCTGCCTTTAAATGGGGAATCAAGTTTCATTTTGTCGAGAGAAAAAAACATTTACGACTTGGCATGGTGGCGACGACTTTTCTTAACATGTTCCTAGCAAGTGCGTTAAACTTTCTGCCATATGCTTTTTTTACGACATCCACGATGTACGAACTCTAGCACTAAATTGATGTTCGATGCTCTTTCATTTTAAGTCACACATGTGTATGTATGTATGTATGTATATACATATGTATATGTGAAAAGCATATACAGATAGCATTGAATGTTCTAATTTCAATAAAACAGCAATTATCCTTTAAAAATATTTGTGCACTTTTTCACAATCCTTTACCTTTAAGTTTCGCTTTAACACAAATGCCTCTCTGTTTCTCTGTCTTCTATTTGATGTTGCCTGCTCTATAGCTTCATCTATCCGCTCTATTAATTTATAATTCTCAGTGCAATCTCTCAATGGCTCAAATCAAAGGCAAGTTACTGGCAAATGACAATTGATTTGAACAGAGTCCTAGAAGAACACAAACACAAACACACACACACACACACACATAATACACTATATTGAGAGAGGGATAGAGACATAGAACAATAAATGCCTTTAAGATGTTGCCTACAGATTGCTTTTCTTGCATTGTGTGATGCTCGAAGATTATCTGTAAAGATATGTATTGTACAATGCAGTTGTTTTTATTATGCCTGTATGTGTGGCTGTGTGTGCCAGTTTGTGTGTGTACTTGTGTGTGTATGCTTAACACTTGGCCTTTGATATGTGCAGAAGCTGCTGGCGCCCTATGACCCACACAGTTTGCGCTGTGCTGTCATTTCTTACGCAATTGAACGCCCAGTGAAGTTCGCTCCTTGGTCAAGCAGTATTGTCAATGCACTTCAACACATTTGCCAGCTGTCAGAGACAGCGGCAAAGAACAAAAGAGAGAAGAAGAAGAGGGACAAGCAGTGAAAGAGGAGCAGTGCTGGATAGGGGAGGGGAGAGGAGGAGAGGAAAGAGTGCGAGTGAAGCTGGCAAACCTTTTGCACTAAAAACATTGCGTTGCCGTCTTTGTGCCCGGCTTTCTTTGTATCTATTACGCCATATTTGCCTTACACTTTTCGCCGCTTTCGCTGCTTCTGCTTTTGCTCTTCCCCATTTACTCTTGCGGCACACATTTGTGCGTCTCCCACAGATTGCCGTACGCATTGCTTTTCTATCGTTCGCTCCTTTCTTATTCTTTTATTTTCGTCTATGTACTTATATGTAGTATATGTCCTTGTGCTTGTTTTTCCTGCTGCCTCAAACCCATAAGCCGTGCTCAGCCGCCCATTTTGCCGTGTAAATACATACATTCATACATAAGAGTGTGATTGCGAGTGTATGCATGTGCATGTGTATGTGTGTCTGTTTTCATTGCTGTCTGTTTGTTGACATATTATGATCCTTGATTATTTTGTGCTGACAAATAAATGCTTTTATTTTTAACCGAATGTATACTTGTATGTATAGTATCTATACGTCCTTATGTGCATACATATGATATGAGCTTTAGCTGCATTTGCGTTCGCTTCAATTTGCCAGACACAAAGCCGTTTTATGTGACACACACATTTCTTTACTTACGAATCACCTACAAAGTGAACTTTGTTCTAAAAATAATTACAGGACAAAATAACACAAAAGTTCAAAATCAATTTCTATTGACAAGCCTCTGGCACCTATGTATATAAGAATTATACAAAATTATATATATGCTAAACAAAATTATATTGTGGAATGTTTCACGGGTTAGTCAAAACTGCCCACAATTCCAAAGCAATATACAGTGACAGTTTTTAATATTTGTCAGAAATAAATAAATAAATTTTATTTCAAAACTCCCTTAATGGACACCTCTTTTATCCGGACACTCACTTCGGCGAACAGTTTATCTAAAACATGCGATCGGAGTATAAAGTATTTAGGTATCCCCTAGAGCGGACACTCCCCTTGGGTGTCCGGCCAATCGAGTTTTCACTGTAAAATAAACTGAACCTCAAAACTGCAGCATAGGGCACTTTCTTCTTGTTTTGGCGTCTGCTAGGCCCTTAAATAATACTACTACTTCTCTCTTCTTAAGAAAAGAAGAAGAAAACTTAGTTCAATATTATTTTTTAATATTTATTTACTCAGGATGTATGTTTTCGAAACATAAAAAAGTCGTGCGTGCTAACCTCAATTTATTTTATGGTACGGAAGGCGTTTTCTCAGGCCACCCCTAGATTATGCATTGGCTGCCCCCTAAATTAAGCTGACCGCCATTTAGTATGTTGCTGCAGTCTGTGGACAAAGCTTTAGGAAGTCAAACACATCTGGCTGGTTTCATCAATAAACGCCCACCAAAGCAGCTAAGCAACAAAAGCAACAACAATAACAACATTAAAAAGCCACAAAACCCAAAACCGGCTGCACACAGTGGGCGTCTCTTTTTCCATAACATAGTTTGTGAATTATATTTGATTGTTGTCTGTTTTTGTCTTCAAAAGTGTCACTACAAGCGACCAAAAGCAAAAACCAGCCACACACTTAAACGCTCGGCAGCTGACAATTTATTAACCTGAGTGCAGAAATGAAGGGCGGAAGCTCGATGAACGTGTAAGCGTATAGGTTTGTGAATAAAAGGGAATGTGCACTGTAAAAAGCTTTTGAAGCTGACTTAAAATTAATTCCATCTTCGAAATGAAATAATATTTATAATTCAAAAATATCTCTTGAGTATTTCCTTGCAAAATTTCAAAGATACATCAGCTTTTAATTCATCGTACTTGGTGTTTGTTAAGTTTCAAAATTACCAAAAAGGAATTTCTTAATTTTTATTTTTAAGAAATTCAAGGGGAATACAAATAGTAGGGAAATATTATCGAATTATATAATATTGAATGCTCATTTAGAAATAATAATGTAAATTATTCACTAATTGTTTAATATATTCATATTTTAACCACTTGTAAATTCGGCTTCAAGAATTGGTTTTACATGCAATATTTGTATAGAGAGAACGGAAGTGACGCGACACGTATACGAGTGGGCCTCTGTCCGGCTTGGCTATCATTTTCATCATTGATTGTTGTAGCGTTAAAGCTGTAGCTTCCATAAAGAACAGCAGGCACATGGAACGCCCCTAAACTTAATTAAATATGAATTTTGTGGTTACAGCAATACGTTGCACCTGCAGCGTACGCCCAGCATTCATGCCAGTAATGACACAAGCAGCATTGCATGCAACCAACGACGACAGTGCAACAAAAATTGTGAAGATTATAGACTAGTGCACCAGATTATTAAGCACTCTGCAGGGCAACACAAGAAAAACGCGTCAAATTGTATGCAGAGAAATATAAATCAAATATACAAGCATCTATCTATATATAGTATGTATGTATGCTCATTTGAATATGTTTGGCATTCACTTTTTACTCTGTTCTTATCTGGAATGGAATTCAAAAAATGCAGCCGAAAATGCCGATGCACGCGAATAACGTTTGCAAGATCTTTGCGAAGGGCATCCACATCTAGAGCCATCAAAATGAAAAGAGAACGGAAGTTGAGGCTTTGGCAAATGCGCGAAAGGGCATCCACATCTGATCCAAGAAACACCAAGAGGCAATGGACATCCTTTGTACAGACGACGAAAGGTGGACGACAGTGGGTATTCAATCAAGGACGTAATCGAAGTCATAAAAAGCGAAGGACGTATTGGGAAAGATAACACGTGGGAAAGATTAAAAGCTACTTCAATTCAGTGGCGCAGCAACGCATGTCGCAAACGCTAGTACAAAATAAAGGCATAAAATATGGATATGTAACAGGAAGATGTACGCATCTTCGAGAAGAGAGAAATCCTTCTAGACATGAGTGCAGATACTCTAAATAGAACTATGCCCGCCACTTTGAAATGCTGTGTGTGTGTTCCCTACTTAGTTTGTTTTCTGTGGCAAGCCCATCAGCATAATAACAGCAAATGGAAGCAATGTGGGCATATGGAAAGAATAAAAGAGAACAAGAACAACAACTGCAACTGCAATCAGAAGTCGCAGCAACAGTGCAACAATAATTATGAAAATTGCAAGGCAGCCCCTCACGAAAACTGCTTTTGAATCCTTCAGAGCATTTCTTTCTCCGCTTTTTTCCATAGATAGTTGGTTAGATGGTGGGGGGCAGGAAGGATTGCAAGTACGAAAATGAAGAAGAAGAAAAATGTATGCTTACCAAAGCAGATAACTCGAAGACGTTTAATCCAATGTGACTGTTGCCGGCAACAATAGCAACAACAAGTTTCGCTGCTACTGTTGCATGCCTGTCGTTTTTGTTGCTGTTGCTGTTGTTGCTGTCGCCGTCGTTTTCTGGCATGTTGTTGCCATTTTGTGTGTTGTACTCGAGGTTGTTCTGATTTTAATGCCATCATGCGTATATTGTTGTTTTTGTTGTTGTTGTTATTGTGTTGCTGTCGCTAGTAACTGTTGCCGCTGCGCGCTATAAGAAGCAGCAATTGTCGCCGTTGCTGTTGTTGTTATGCCACATTTGTTACTGTTAATGCATTTCGCCAAACTTTCGCATAATTTTCACACAACTTGTAATTTTTCGCCTTAAAACTTCTTGCACTTAATTTTCTCCTTTTTGTTGCAATTATTTTCTTTATTTTCATTCGCACACAAACACTGTTGGCAATAATATTCTAATAAGATTCTAGGAGCAACAAGCCGAAAAAGTGGGCGTGCCAGTTCCAGTTCTAGTTACAGATTTGAAGACGCGGGGAGCATTTTTTTGCGTCTTTAGAAGTGTCTTTTCTTATCTTCATCGCGAATTTGATTTGGTTTGTGGTTGTTGGTGTGGCTGCTATTCTTTTAGGCACCGCAACGCACTGGGCCTTGTTGCTTTGACGCGTGTCAAAGGAACACAAAAGAAACAGGACATTTGACTTGGCTGCCTGCGTCCTGTACGCGCTGTAGCTGCCGAGCGGCAATGGCAATGCCAGCAACAGTGACGAAGCTCCTCACGAGTGTTGTTGTTGTTCACGCGACCGCGACGAGACACCGACGTTAAGGACGAAGACGAGAAGCAGGCCGCCTATTGCGACTACCGACACAGAGACCGACGAGGACGAGCCTGCTGCTCTTTCACAGAAAATTGTATTTATTCCATTTTTTCTCCATAAACACAAACAATTTTGTATGGATTTCTTGCACAATTCCAAAAATTGGATTTTGCAAATACTTTAGTAATTTGGCTTGTTATTACTGCCCGCTCTTCTTGTTGTTGTTTTGTGTGTAAGTGTGTGCGTGTGCGTGTGAGTGTGTAGAAAGAATTCACACGCGTTGCAATTAAAACGAACCGTGCGTCTGGCAAGCATCTACTCAGAATCAGAGCTAAAACCGAACTAAAAACTACAGAGTCAAAGTTGCAGCAAGCACCACAAACAGCAGCAGCAGTACCCGTCGCTAACACGAGCACAGCGGGAGCGCAGACCAACAAAGAGAGAGCGCATGTATGCGAGCACAGAGTAGCACCAATTGGAGAAGAAGAAGAAGCCCTGCCAGACCGAATTCAAATCTTTGTTTTGGCCGTGCAGGTGCGCCTACTACATGGGCTGTATAGCTTATACACACAAGTGATGCATCTCTTCTAATTGGAACATGTGCGGGCCGGTTTCACATACTGGATGATGTTTACAATTCTAGTCTCATATTCGCACTTATAACACATGTTATAATATACGTAGCGAATCAAAATTCAGTATAAGTTGCTTTTTATAAGAAGTAGCGGTGGTGTATAAGGGTTGCAGTATGCGCATCTAACTGTTATACACTGCTGTCTTATATTGTAGCAGTTTGAATAGCCGTAAAAATTTTTTATATTAGAAGTAGCAGTGGTAATGGCGTATAATGGAAGTAGCAGTAGCATTTAACTATTATACACAACTGTCTTATATTGTAGCGGTTTGAATAGCTGTAGAAATTTTTTATTTATAAGAAGAAGCAATGGTATTGGCGTATAAGGGGTGTAGCAGTAGCAACTAAACTGTTGTCTTATATTGTAGCAGTTTCAACGCAACTTTGAGGTTCGATTGCCCCACGCTGAGTCCACTTGGAATCAAAATATATACATACATACGAGTATATGCTTATATTTCCGGCACGTACAATAAATTCAAAACATATTGAGATAATGAATTATACAAAACAAAAAGGAAAGGAGCGAACACAACTCTTAAAATGATTAAAATAAACCTAATTCTGTTTTTACACAAAACAAAACAAAAATCGTGTAAAAAAACACATTGATCATAAAATGGATCGTGCTAAATGGAATAAAGTCGCGTAACCATATATAAAAACAATAAATTTTCATACCGTGTTAAATCAAAACCTTGTAAAAATATAATTAGGTATATTTAAAAGAACATGCAAGTAATCAAATAAAATATAACATTTGTGGCCATTGCCCAAGCCATAAAAAATGAAATGTCTATAATTTGTCTGGTGATTTGAACTATTTTTCGTTTTCAATATGGAAATCATTGCAATTGTTTTAGAAGTATTTTGGGAAGTTTGGGTATAAAACCAAAATACTAATTCATATTCCAGTAATTCACATTCAAGCCTGATAATGACTGAATTTCTTGGCAAACACAAAGAAGTCTTATATTTAAATTTTAAATTAATTTTTAAGTGCCACAAACATTTACCATAAAATCTAGTACACTCATACATACATACATATGTATTATTTGTTTGTGTATCCATTTAATTGTACATACCTACAACGTTAGCTGAAATAAATTGTTCAGTTCTACATACAGTTTCTAGTAAATCAACAATTAAAATTAATTAACAATTTACAAAAAATCGTTTTAAAAAACATTTATGATCACAACTAAATTTTATTTCCATTTCGAGTTGGCCTAAATATTTTCAATTGAATGTTCTTTTTTTGGGGTAGGGATCGAATCTGACTTTGGAATTAAAATTTCACCACAGATCCCGCTTGTAATTGATTTATCACTGTCTGGTATGGTTGAGTATTGTTCTCCAGCCCATTATATTTATCTGTCTAACCATACTGGGATTATTAGCTCCCTCTATATGTATGCATATCTTGTCTATAAGGGCAGTGCGACCCCCAGGTGTTTGATATTGTTCAAAAAACATAAGACTACAAATGCCGCTTTTAGTATGTAATTCATTGAACTTTGCAACTGCAATAATAAGAGATCGGTTGTCACACCACTAGGCATTTGAGTACATGAGCGAGGCAAAAACTGAGCCATTGGACCCACCGAACAGCATTGAGCAGAGACTTCATCTTTATTTAACCCTGTTAGGGGATTTAACATTTTATTCAATTTATTTGTTTTAAAAATAATTGTATTTTCCTTTATTAATTGGATTTTATTGTATGTGGGTAAAGGTGTTTAAAAATTGGACCTGCTCGACTCTAGTTTTCCATTTTTGTTCTTAATGGCTTGAAGGATGATACGTACTGTGACTCCTTTGCCAAATAAACCTAATCCGTCAATCAATTAATCAATTAACTATAAATATAAACTATGGAAGCTTATATAATAAATTAGCAAAACGAATAGGCATTTGAAGAGATTTTGTTTCGCATGAAATGCTCAATTAAAACTTAGTGCATGTTGATTTCTTAATAACTGACTCCATATCCTTCGCAAGCTCAACATAAGTCTCTTTTTTACATGAAGCGATGAGAAGAAGAAACAATTATATTCCTTTTTCGGTCTTACTCAATGACTCCTGCTCACTGAAGTTCATTTTCTAATACAGACTCGTGATTTTCTCAACACTTGCTGGTGCCGGCACCTGTCTAAACACCATATCTTTTGATTGATTGATTGAGGGGAAGACAGATTCCGCCTCCCCCCCTACCCATCCACCCTGCCACACAAGCATTTCAAAAGTTTGCCATGTGATAAGGCTTTTCCTGACTGCTCGTACACTTTCTTTTCGTTATTTCTTTTATTTTTCATGTCATATCTTTGTAGAACATTTTGTAGCTCTCGTTTTCATTGCCAATCTCAGGCGAGTGTAATTTGCGTTTCATTCGCAATAATATGAATTCCACAGCAACAACAAGCAAGCATGTATGTATATCTCTAAGAGTACATATTTATATATGCCTATTTGTATGTTTAAACATATGAATTGCTTTTCCTAAAAAAAAAACACTTGTTACGTGCGGCAATTCCCATGGGAACTTGGGAGCTCCTGCCATATTGGGAGGAAAATAAAATGAACATGTATATGAATTTCGAGGCTTTGGCAGTTCAACGAAAAAAAAGCAGAAATGAAATTCAATTTGATTTAAGCTCCAGCTAACATTGAAGAACGGAATCGGTTCATTCCAGTAGTCACGGCCTAGGCTCCTAATCAGCTTCAATTTAAAAGTGCGCGCTAATCTCTTTATGCATTCCCAAAGAACTTGAAACAACAAACGCGAAAACAAAATTGCCAGCACAAAAATAACAAAACACAAAGCTGGAAACTGCCAACAGAAAACTGGCATCGAATGGTTTTATTGTTGATGTCCTTGAAACACCAGCAGCCGGTCATGAAATGCCAAAATTTCAAAGAAAATCAAATGAAATAAAAAAAACAACAGCGGCGATGAATTCCTTTTCTAATGTATTTTGCACATCATTTTCAGTTTAGCTCTTACCCACAGACTCACACTTTCCACTCACTTGCATAGACAGTGTCAACCTCGTGGAGGAGCCAACCATCCACCAACAACCTAGGCAGCCACCCACATCCCACCACCAACCATCGTGATACCCAACCGGAAGCGAGCTCAGTACTGAGTCTCTCGCTTCGCGCTTTGTGTTACTCGATGGCTACTCTATACATTTAACATGAAGGTCCTGCGCCTTCGATGGAAATGTAGTAAAACCCACAATATAGTAGTCAGAGGCAAAGCAAGTGCATAAATAAATAATCAGGTATAGAGTCTAGGAATCACCATCAGCAACAACAATGACGTCATCTTGGAAATTCGCCATCGGATCCATTTCTCGACACACAAAATACTGCCCTGATTTTGCTCCTGCTCCTTTACGGTACTGATTTTAAAACATCAGATATATTCGGAGACGAATCTTCGGCCCTCTAATTGTTGTCCGCGAATCCCGAATAGGGATGAACCATCAGTTTTATAAGCTAAAAAGCAACATTAATGGAGTCAAGTGCATTTAAATACAACGACTGTGCTGGCTAAGCCATGTAAGTGGATGTAAGTGCTCCAACCAAAAAGTATTTAATTCGAACTGGGCTGGGGGCCAGTGAAGAAAGGGAGAGAACGCCAGAAAGACCAACCTAGTTGTTTTGATGTTACAAATTCGCGACAACACTCGCAAGACAGACAACGCTGGCAAGGATTTCCTAACGCGCCAAAACCGACAACCGGCTGTAATGGCGACAAAACAGGAATCACTTAAATTTTCCAAAAATATGATTATTTTATTTGTCTTCTTGAAATGGTTGTTTAATTCAATATTCGTTTCCCATTTTAGCTGTTTTTTTTTAAATTTAAGTTCATGAACATTTCAAAATATATCCAAAACTCTTATGATACTGACTCTGGCGACTGACTGGAATGTCGATTATATTGTAAGTCCAGTCATTGGACTCTACCCAAATATGCATTGAGTTTCGATTAGATGTCCACAAAATGATTTGCCTAACTTTGGGGAATGAGAGTATCTTGCAACAAACTATCAACTGCAAAACTGAACTTGATGAACGAAGGACGACTGACGGCTGCTAAGCAACGATAACTATTCTTTCATTGCCCTGTAAAGTACAATTCTCAATTCCTTTCTGTCCAACGGTATGCTTTATAAATCCTCATACCTACTAATTCTGAAATGTAGAGGCGTGAAGATATGAAACCGTTTTAAAGAGTATAATTTCTTCGATTCCGTTAGAGCAGTCAATTCTACTTGGTTAGGTTTTTTGCTTCCATTTTTTTTTTTTTTTTTTTTTTGTGCACACTTTTTATTGAACCGGTTTTATTCTGTTTGCGGCGGAAATCGCCGGAGCAAAGGCAGAATGGAAAATGCAGAGCAAACACAAAATGGCGAAGGAAAACCGAAAACGAGCACATATACATAATTGTATATACATAAGTATACATACATACATATATATGTGAAGAAAATGTTGAGAATTTTGCACTTTTCTTCAACCACCAGCAATTAAGAGCGAGAACTGTCGGTGGATATGTTTGGCATGAATATTTTTTGGATTTTTGAGGCTGTTGAATGTTTATATACGAGTAGTTGCATTTCTTGTTGTTGCTGTGAGGAGAGCATTAAAGGCGCCAAAGAAATCAATAAAGCAGAATAACAATAACAGTCGACCTCAACGCAGCGTCACTCACAGGATCCCACAGACAATTTTTTGTAGTTGCACTGCGTGGCTTCTACTCTAAGCCACCATCTATCAAGGCGTCCTTCCCTTCCCCCACCCTTCACTACACACCGTGTCACTTGCTTACGCACAGCCTTTGTCTTTTATTTTCGTTGTTGTTGTTGTTGATATATTCTTCCTTTTTTTATTCACACTCGTAGGATCCGCCACATCAATCGTCAATCGGTGTGTAGCAGAAACCCCCATTGCCCCACAGCCTTATCCCTTCACCAGGCACCTATGTATTTACCACCCAAATCAAATGCCTTACGCAAACAACCTGACAAGAGACGGATGCAGTAACTGTTACTCCTCCACACTTTCCTCCTCCCGCTTTCTCACTCCCCCTTATTTTAAGTGTATTCTTGTTTTGAGAAAGCAGCCAGCAGACATTCGTAATCTTCATCTCCATCTCCAAAATACAGCGGCCCCCACTCCCCGTTCATCACAATACTCCGCTCACCATTGAGTGCTTTTTCGTTGTTTGTTATTGAAGGTTTTTCGCTGGTCGGGGCTACAGTGTGGGTGAGGAGGAGGTGGGGTTGGCGTTGGGAGGGAGTTTTGTGGGTATGGCTGTTTCGCCTTAAGTTGTTACTCAGAAGGCCTGCTTTGTTGCCATTACTTGTATTTGCTTATTGTTGTTGATTCTGTTATTCCTTACTCCCAATCGCATTCGCCATGTGTTTTGCTTCTGTCATTTGTCTTTGTATATTACCAGCTTAATACGCCGCTCTGCCAGTACCACCTCCCCCCTTTTTCATTACCACTGCCACCCACACAACCACAGCAACTACTAAGTACATGTTTTACACACACACATACAGTCATACATACATACAAAGAAATTTGTATTTAATCGGCAAACAACAAACAAGCTTTGTTTTGTCATCAAAATGCTTCCAGACGGTTTACGAAAACCCAAACTTTTGTGGTGTTACTGGGTTTATGAAGCGTATACTGTATAGTCCTAGACCCCAGTATAGTCCCTGTAGTTTATTTTACTTTACCCTTTACGTGAGTTCGAATACCGAGAGAGGTAAAATCGATCAAAAATTTTTTTTAATTTTCTTAATTTTTTCATAATTTATATATATAAATAATTTTTTTCCATAATTATTGTAAGCATATGTACAGAGTATTTCAAAGTCGGGACACCCAACTTTATCTTTTTTACTCATTAATTATACGTATGTATTTTGGACAATAACAACTTCACAACTTCATCGCGCCTCGCGCCGAACAATATTTACCTTAAAAAGCTATGAGCTATGTACATAGCTAGAAAGCCTCGATGCTCCAACATGACAAACATTTTGTATTGTTTTCTTTTCATTTTTCGTGCAGTGTTTTTCATTTTACTTTGCTTCTGTTCCCACTCTGCATATTGAAGAGCCAATGACTTTGAGGTGGTAAACAAAATTAAAACATGTTTCAATTCAAATTCGCCCGAACAGACTAAGCAACAATGGCGAATTTAAGTTCAGCTCGCTTCGCTCAACCCAGATACACATACAAGTACATACTGATTCAAATACAAATGCAAATAGAGATAGAGATACACACGTAGCGCACGAACAATTGAAAGTTATTTGTGAAAATTTTATTGTAATTACAAAAGTTTTCGCATATTGTGTTTGTTGTTGTAATTGTGTTTACGCTCCCTATTTGTTTCAGTCTGCTTTGCTTTCTCTGTTTTCTGATCTCTATTCCCTATTCTTAGTTTCCTATGAGCGTTTGTTCGGTAGCATTTTTCTCGACAGTGCTTCCAATTTTATGATACCTTGAATTAGACTCCAGCATCCAATCCAATTGGACTCCGCCACATTACCCCAGAGCCCCACCGCAGGCACTAACCCTCCAAGGCATCCCCGTCTCCGTCGCTTTTTCTTTCGTGCCAAACTTTATCCACTTCATTATTTGCTCGTTTTCATTGCTTTTGTTGTACTGTTTGTTTGTTCGCTTCTTTGCTTATTTGTTTGACGGTTCGTTTCGATTTTAATTGTATCTGCGTGTTAAGTGAACGCCAACATAGCGCGCGCTCGTTCTCCACCGACCCCGGACATTTATTCGTTGAGTTTGTGCCAAAAAGAGGTGAGAGTATTTTAAAAAGCAGCACACCCGAGCTCGGGTTACTGAAGTGCAAACAGTGAATGGCCTCAGACCACGAACCACGAGCCAGGAGCCGCAGGACCTACGTGTACTGTTTGTCAGACAAAATAAGTGAGATTTGAACTTGACTGTCGGGCATAATGTGCTTTGCAAATATTTTCCAACACTCTTGAACAACGCAGCAGTGTTCATAAATATCCTTTGAAAATGCGGAATAATATAGCGTCGGTTGTTGGCCCAACTGTGTCGACCAATTAAACTGTTTATTTATTTGCAAAACGACTATTTGCAATCATTATTTTCGTTAAAAGGTAACAAATGCATTTGAATACACATAATTCTGTTTTTACACGGTCTTTTTTAACACGGTTTGAAAATTAAAAATTGTATATATAGTTACACGACATTATTCCATTTAGCACGATTTAAAATAATATATGTCAATGTCCTTTTTTGCACGGTTTTTTTACACTACCGCTTAAAAACAAAATTAGGTGTAACTATATAATTCAATATTTTTGAGTATTGTCCGCTTAAATTTAACGCATACTCGATCACATGTTAGCTTCCTTAGATATCGTAAATACTTACTAAGTCGCTACTTATATGGAAATTTAATGTAAATGCCTGGAAACCCCATCCACGTCTCTATAAAATTCACCGACATTCCACATGTGTGAAATATTTCAACGGAATTTTTTCGAAAAGTAAACCACTAATTAGCAACTTTAAACTGAATGCACACCACAACCTGAGCCCATGTTGGCTGCTTTCAAATGAAATAGAATCGTGCCACTTATGGTTTAAATTGCTGCAACGTCGCAATTAACACGTGTCTGATGGCAGTTGTTGTTGGGGGAGATGTGGGCAGTTGGCGTGAAACAGAACTAGAGGAATCTATAATTATATATGTATATGTGCGCTGCCTCTAAGTATTAACATCAATCAGAAGAACTGTTATGAGTTATCAGAGCAGAGCATTTACTTCAAAGATGAAACGATTAAGCGAAGCCTCGAGCTCAGACGTAATAGTAGTTGCCACAATAGCGCACATTCCCCTTTAAATAGGGTTCGGTTGGCACTCTGTATAGTTGCAGGGGGCGTTGGGGTGGCGGCAGTGGAGTCCTTGAGCGACGGGTTCGGCGAGTCTGCATCAAGTGTTGGTATTGCTGTTGCTGCTTCTTTTGCAGGAACTGATGATGAAGAGCCCTTTGTTGATGCATGCGATATGAGTATTCGGTGCCCATGCCAAGAATCACGGTCGGGGGGCTACACAGGGGGACGCAGTAGGTTCTGGTCGATGATCTGATCCTCTTTATGAGAGGCTGCGACGGTGGAGGAGGCATTTTTTCACTTGGCGGACCCACGTGAAAGCGCGTATCGGTCGCTTCCAGGCCCCCATATAGACGCTTGGGAGTCTTCACAGTGCTCTTCTTGTGTCTCTTGGATGCGAAGGTTTTGGCATCCACCATAATGATGTTATTGAAGTTAATGCAGGGAGGGGACTTCTTGAGCAGATGTGCCAAGCGATTTTTTGGTGAGCTTGGCATCACTGCCTTGCCAGTCTTCACACCTTTTTTGCGTAATGGAGCAATAGTTGGTTTGTTTGTAAACTTCTTGGGGCCTGGTTTGATATTATCAAAAGTTGGAATCATTTCTAAGCTTTCCGAACTGTCGGAACTATGGATTGTAGTATATTCGGCCAGTTGCCAGGCCGCGTTCAGTTCCGGTTTGGTCTTCACATTGGCATTCTCCTTCAGATCATAGTTAGGGTATTCTCCAATGGACAAGTATGAAGTTGATTTGGATTTCTTAACCATATGCAGCCTAGTGACAGTCGGCGTTTGCTTTAGATACTTGCGAAGCGTATCTTTGGCATCTTCGCATTGATTTTTATTCGTAAATCTCTTAGTCGTGTTCATCTTGAACGCTTTAGCTTTGTTCTTGAATATTTGGACGTGTAACTATCACTTGGTAATTTTTTATTTATTTTTTTTATATAATAGAAGAACCGAAAATCATGTTAAGGAGAATTTTAAGATGAAATTTTTTATACTGTCGGTTTGTAAGTGACAGACTACTTCATTTTACTTTTTTAATTTTATGTCGACAAACACAAGCTGTCGGCATAGGTGACTTATTCAGCAAAATTAAAATTAATTAAATTAAAATTAAAGCAAAAATCGGGTGCCTCGACTTTAAAATATTTTTTACCTATGTGAAGAAAAATTACAGAAATTTAAAAAATACCACAATTGAAGCAAAAACAACTAAACGAAAGTTTAATACAAAAATGTTTTGAACGATTATTCCTTCTCTGTGTTGTCTTTGTGTGTCTGTGTGTGTCTACAAAGTTGAGCCAAATCGGCAACACTAACAACAACTGCGGACAGACTGTGCAGAGAATATATTTATGGCTATAACTTCAATTAATATTAGCATATCTCCATAGAACTTAACATACGGGCGCATAAGCTCTAACAGATTGTAATTATTAAATTTGAGTATAAACTTTGATTCAGAATTACCGAGATTATAGAAAACCAATAATAGTAAGGGTAGAAACAAATTTTGAAAGTCCGGCAGACAGACATAATACTTTAAACTCTGTACCTGAAAGGTATGTGCTTATGTGAGCAATATAAAAGGCATCAATAGAAATTTGAAAGTTTTAAATTATTATTGCCTGTGCCCAAAGGGTAAAAGACTATACTAGTTTTGTGCGAATGTATGTAACACACCAAAGGAGGCGTGGTAGACACCACAAAGTATAAGCATATATTATTGATGCCATGTCCGTTTGTCTGTCTGACCGTATGGACACAAGGATCTCAGAAAGTATAAGTGCCAGAATAACAAAACTTGGTATCTAGATTCTCCTAAGACCGAGAAAGTACGAGTACGAGTTTGAGTTTGTTTTTTTTTTTTTCAATGCATCCCCCCACTTCCCCACAATTCATATTTTTGCCATAACTCCCGTAATTTATGGAATTTTGTACAGATTTGGCAAATACCTTAGTCATTTTGAGTCCTATGCCAAGTTTCATTACGATAGGTTAATTATGGAGAAAGTTATAGCCATTAATATACTATCTGCCGAAGCTCTGCCCTGCTTCGACTTATTCCTATACTGCATACATACACGCATATAAGCACGCATAGACACGATGATGTAAATGTATGCTGTTGAAACATGAACATATGTCTCCATATTGAATATATTTCTTAAAATTTAATAAAAAAATTAAAAATTTTTTAAATTAATTTTAAAATTTAAAAAAAAAAAACTTTGATTTTGTTGTGGGAGTGAGTACAGACTATTTCACTGTCGGGCTTGCTCGTCTGTAGCGTTCTCTCTTGTTTTTAAACATATGTAAGCATCACAATAAAACCTTAAGCAAATCTTTTTATACTCTGTACATGAAATGTACAGAAGTATATTAGGTTTGCGGGAGCTGAAAAATGAAAAACAGGCAGATCAGCATGACGAGACGAGTCGATCTAGCCCTGTCTGTCCGTCTGTCCATCTGTCCGTCCGTATGAACACCTGGATCTCAGAGACTATAAGAGATAGAGACACCAAATTTTGCACAAAGATGCCTTATGTGTGTATTCTATACGAGTTTGTTTTTTTTTTTTTGATTTTCCCCCCACTTCCCCCCTATGGGGGTTTTCACGATTTTCCATTCGTATAATCGCCTATATCTCGGAGACTATAAGACCTAGGAACACCAAATTAGTCCAAGATGTCTTGTGTGAATACGCAGAAAATGTATATTTTGGAATTTCCCTCCCTCCCCCCTCTCGCATGCAAATCGCCCAAGCGCTGCCCGCGGCTGTTATTGATGTTGCTGTTTAGTTGACTGCTAACATGTTTACACAGACACGAATAGATGCGCATATGCATACATACACTCACACAGACGCAATTGCTATGTAAATGTGCAATTATAAACCCTTTACTTTCGAATACCGAGAAAGGTAAAATGGATCAACATTTTTTTTTTAATTTTCTTAATTTTTTTTATTTTATATAATTATTGTAAACATATGTACAGAGTATTTCAAAGTCGGGACACCCGACTTTAGCTTTTTTATACCCTGTACCCGTAGGGTAAAAAGGGTATATTAGGTTTGTGCAAAGTATGTAACATACAGAAGGAAGCATCTCCGACCCCATAAAGTATATATATTCTGAATCAGCATGACGAGAGAAATCGATCTAGACATGTCCGTCCGTCTGTCCGTCCGTCTGTCCGTCCGTCTGTCCGTCTGGATGAACGCGAGGATCTCAGAAACTATAAAAGCTAGAATAACCAAAGTTGGCATCCAGATTCTCCTAGATCCGAGTAAGGACGAGTTTATTTTTTTTTTTTTAATTTTTCCCCCCCTTCCCCCGCTACAGAATTTCGTCAATAGCGTCCACATTTCAAATGCTACCTAAACCAAACTTTGCACACATAATTTATAAATAAATATCTACTGTTGTTTAAAATTTTATTCAATTCGGTCAATTCTAAGAAAAGTTATTAGCGAAACAAATTCTCGCCAGTACAACCCCCACAAACTGCAGCAACAAGTTCGCTCTTCTTCTTCCTCTTTTTGTTGCTGCTTTGGGCGCATATAACTCAGTGACGGAAGTTTACCTGGGTACAGGGTATTACACTGTCGGGCTTGCTCGACTGTAGCGTTCTCTCTTGTTACTTGTTTATAGTAACTCTGAATCCTTTAAGAGTTAATTGCACTTAAAGAATTGTATAACCACACATACATGGACATACATATATGTATAGTATATACATTTATGCTTTTTCTTTTCTTTTTTTCCATAGAGAAATTCATAACTTTGTGGTTTGCCCCAAAGTCTACAAGAGTGTAAGCTACCTGAACAAATATTGGTCTAACCTTCAAACCATTTGCATAGGCGGATGCGATAATGCGAAAGTGTAATCTTTGTGTTTTGTTTTTATTGTTTTAAGGCAGGTTTTGTTTATGGCCATGACCAATGTGGTCCGCATGCTATGTACATAATATATAGTATAAGCAGACGCTAACGCATGCCCATATCCCGCATTCATATGTACTCGTACATACATACTATATATGAAATCGGTTCGTCCGATGGTTGGCATTAATGCAAATAAGTGGAAACACAAATATTTTCAACTTTTTGTGGTGAGCAAACCTTTTTTCTGCTCTCAATGTGGCAACGCTAGCCGTGGCAGTAGCAGAATGGGCAGCAAGGTCGATGGATCATTTCCGCTGTCATGGTTGCGTGCGACCAAAGTCCAATGGCTGCTACAGAGTCAGAGCCCCTTCCTGTGTCCCCTTTGCACAAGCGTCCGTTTTGGCAACCGTTTCCTGTCGGCAGCGCAGTTAAATATTGAAATTTATATTTAAAATATTTCAAATATACAGTTAAATGTGAGTTTTCCCTTTTCAATGGTGCCAGCGGGTCACGATGCCCAACGCTGTTCAAAGGACGGGTGTATTGTGGGTAGGCAAGTTGAACATTTTTCACTTTAGTTTATGTACCGCATGTTTAATTTATGAGCCCACATTGAGGGTCTGGCATTCATCGCTGGCAAGGTGAAGGAAAGGTTCCATTTCTTCCACCTTGAACCAAAACATTATGCCAATGAATATGATATCAATTTTGTGTCTGTGTCTGGGGTGAGACGGGGCGATTGTGTATTAGAGGGTTAGGGGGGCTCTCAAGCGTGCTGAGCTCTACTCAAAGTACTAATCGCCAGCCCCTGCCAGTCCCACCTAATCCCGCTGTCTGTGGAACTAATTTCCCCTAATCTTTGATTGCCTTCGACCTAATCTAATTGCACTGCCTTTTCATTGTCCTGTCCGTCGTCTGGCCAATTTTATTTCATTGTACATTAATTTTTCAAAATAGACAAACATTCAGCACTCGGCCATGGTCATTGTTTCTTATTTCTTAGCGTTGTTCTTTTGTGGACAACCTATGCGAATACCATTACCACTACCTTTACCTTTTGTTTCCTATCGAAACACGAACTTCCGGTCTGCTGCTAAGGTTCCTTTTTTCCTTTGCCCTCACAACATTTTTATGTGCGCGCCTTGAAACTCCCACCAATTTCCAATTAGCAACAGGAATCGCCTTTTTGTTTCGTGCTTCGCTTTTCCCTTTGTGACTTTTCTCTCTCCTCTTCACGGGTATTTTCGTCCATTCGCTCATTCGTTCGTTTGTTTGTGTTAATTGAAGATTTGTATTTTGTGCGATTTTATGTCCGTGCTCATTCGCATCGCTAGTCGTCGGCCCAGGTTGGGTCATCCAGGTGGGCTGCATCTACTTTGCCTATCTTTAATTTGGGCTGAAGTTCGTCCGTTCGTTCGCTCGCTCCTTCGTTCATTTTCCCGACTACTTAAGGCACGTGGCTGATGTGGAAGCTAATAAGACAGGTACCTGGAGGGAGGTAGGTGGGTGTGGCAGGTGCGATAGCGCAAAAAACTGAAACTTATTCGATAAATGGTGTAATAAATGTGTCTTGTGCTTTCTGCCTCGTGCTTTTCTGCGTTATGCTCGATGCTCATTTGTTGTTGCTGTTGTTGTTTCAATGTTGCTGTCATGTTGTTGCCGTTGTTGCTTCTGTTCTTATTGTTGTTAGCATGCACGCGTACAGTTTAATTGTATTTCGCACTCATTTATTTCGCCTTTTGAATCTTGAAGTATCAAATGATGCTTCAACTTGTTGACTTTAATTATTTGCTCAGTGGAAGCTTATTTCATTTGTGTTGAAGCACCAATACTGCAAAACTGAATTTCAAGACTAAGCGAACACTTAGTATGAAATTAAGTCTCAAAAAATCATAAAAATAGGGACTTTTAATAAAGGCAAAATATTTTTAAAAACCTTCAATAGGAATAGGAGCTTACATTAAGCAATTTGAT